TCTCTCTCTCTCTCTCTCTTTATCTCTCTTTATCTCTCTCTTTAAAAAGACGCCCACTTTCGCGAGAAACACTAAACATTTTCAGTTGGTAAGAAATGTTGAATTTGGCCCTGGTGGCGGCCGAAGCCTACTCTTATCGATTTTAGACCACCAATGAATCTTTAACGTACGCAACATGAACACAACCTCCGAGATTTTTCACTCTTGTCCGAGAAGGCTAGGTGCAGATCTTTCCTACCAGAAGATCAGGGGTGTGGCTGAAAGACAGCAGTAAGAAGGAGCCAAGGAGTAGCAGTAGAAAGGCTGCAGTAATAGTCAGGAGCCCAGAGGAGAGGTCAAACGAGGTGAGGGGATGGGGGCAGAAAGAGGAAACCAAAGCAGACGACAGAACATTGCTATAGAGCAGGAAGTTTAGAGAAGAAAAACTTTCGGTCGGTACTCGGATTCGAACCCGGGACCTTTGAATGAGAGGCCAAAACCTTAACCTCTAGACCATGAGAGCCCCCCTTATAATGTCTATATTCGATATTTTAAAGTCAACAGAGGGTCGAGAGAGAGAGAGAGAGAGAGAGAGAGAGAGAGAGAGAGAGAGAGAGAGAGAAAAGGGGGTATCTGTCACGTCTAAGGAAAAAAAAGCTTTGGCCTGTTAAGCTCTGGTCGCCACAGTCTATACCATACAAGGGTTTTGCCGTACACACATTCCAGTAGCTTCCACACAGCTAATCCCGCGACTTATATCCACTTTCAAAAGAAATAAAAATAAACCATTCTGCGTCGTGATCCTGAAGCTTCAGGCTACACCCAACCAGAGATGGCTTATTCTTGGAACTTTCCTTGGCGCCATTTTTGTTTGTTCGCGTTCCTTTTCACTGGCGTTGCTAGACTACTAGCATTACTTCCACTGGTGTTATTTTTACTCAATTACTTTTACGATCTCTTCTTCTGCTTGCATTACACGTCTTTGTAATGGCGTTACTTTTACCCACAGCCAGAGACGCCTTCTTTAAGCAGGGAAGCTTTAATGTAGTCGGCTGTGTCCGATACTAACCGGGTATCTGTCAAATTGGGTCAAACATTTAATTTGTGCAGTTGGAAAAATAGAGTAATTTCTTTCTGATGAATTACTTTTCATAATGTGTAATTGGAAAAATTATAGAGTAATATCTTTCTTATTAACTAACTTATTTAATGTCGTTGAAAATATAGAGTAATTTCTATCGTACAAATTACATTTCTGACGTAGTTGAGAAAGTGGATTAATTTCTATCGTACAAATTACATTTCTGACGTAGTTGAGAAAGTGAAGTAATTTCTTTTTCCTGAATTACCTTTCAGATGAAGCTGCAACGAATAGCATTATTTCTTTCGTATTAATTACATGCCAGGATTGTTCTAAATTTTGTATAGAGCGGTTTAAAAAAAATCTATAATAGTATTGTGTCAGTTGTAGATCAAACATCTGTCGCCCTTATCAGCTCTCCTCCTTCTTTTTAGTGTTTGTTACTCACTTGTAACACCTCTAATCTTCGGCGCTTCTATGACCTGATTCTGTTGCAAGTGCCGTAAAACCTTTACATAACTATCAATCGTAGTTACGATGATGAATATAACAGAAATTCAGACTCAAGAAGTGACTTTCTTTAACATGGGAGATACACGGAGACAGGCGGGCGCCGACGATAATGTGTCCTGTTTGGTAAAGGCAGGGGACAGTGGGCAATAGGTGCAGCTACTTCCTGATTTGATTCTGTTTGTGGAATAGCGTTCTGAATTGTAAGCAATGCAAAAATGGCTGTAAAGTTACAGAGGTGTGTGTGGATTGTGCGTGGCAGTCACGATCATGTCTCGATGACCCACGGCTCTTAGATACACAAACAGCTTGCCACATAGATATCTACATACACATCTATCTCACACATACCCACAACACAAACACACACATACACACAAACACAGACACACACAGACACACACACACACACACACATACATACACACACACACACACATACACACACACACACACACATACATACACACACACACA